ACACCCGCACACGTTGGGTGTCCTACAGGCAGGAGCCGCTTGCGAGGGTGGTGGGAGATTGAGAGGTGGGCGTGCTGGGAGGGTGCAAACTCATGCTGAGTCCTCTCACCATTCCCCTGGCAGGTCTGGGAGTCCGTCCCGTACCTCGCCTCGTATGTGAGCCCTGTGCTGAAGGAGGGCAGGAGCATCCCATTACTCCCGCAGGAGCTGGAGGTCGCCTGGAACGGTAAGAGCAGGTGTGCCACGTGAGAGTGTGTGCTTGTGCACGCCGAGGCCAGGATCCCGCCCGTTCCTGCTGCCTTGGGGTGCAGCCGGGTGCACTGATGGCCTGCCAGGGTGAGCCCTGGGCTGCAAGAGGCGGCAAAGGGGTTAAGCGTGAGGCTGCCTGGGCTTTTTCCTCTCTCTTTCCACTGCACTTCCCCAGGGGATCTGTGTCTGTTGATGTGGTACCCTCCCCGATAACTCCATCCCATAGACGAATGTCTTTGAGGAGCCAGACAGGCATTAGCGAGCTGGGCCAGGCTGGGCAGCAGCCAGACCTGCTCCTCTGGCTTTGACCATTTTAGGTAATGCTCCAGCTCCCGACTTGGCCGGCCGCTGTCCACATAAACAAGGCGCTGCTCCGGCTGCTACCAGTGGGAAGGAGAGCTCGGCCCCAGGCCCTTCCCGGCCCCCCAGCAGGGCCCGGCTCTAGCTTGGAATAGCTTCTTGCACCGAGGCTGGGCCACCGGTCCCCTCCCTGTCCTGGGGGCCTGGCCCTGCACCCCTCGCTGCCCCAGACCCCTCCTGCAGAAGTGCTGGGGGTCAGCAGCATCTGGAGGCTCATCCCCAGGACAGGGGACCCCAGAAAGAGTTTTGTGCTGGGCAGGTGCTGGGCACATGCTGTCCCTCCCTCCTGTCCCTGCTCGGCTGGGCTGGGCTGGCTCTGGAGCACAGAGCCAGGACCTCAGGGCTCCAGCAGGACAGAGGGACAGAGGGGTGACACCCTGCTCCTTGGGCTGGAAGTGGTGGTAGCCCCGCTCTGCCTCTGAGAAGAGGGTTGGGGGTCAAGCGGCTCCTCCTGCCCTAAAAGGAGCTGAAATGTGAGCTGAAAGCTGGGCAGCAGGCAGTTTGGGAGAGGCAGAAAAGGGGCACGCAGAGGAGTGGGGACACTACTGTCCCCCAGGTATCACAGGCTCACTCGGAGTTAACCCTTTCCCCACGTGGCCCTTGGGAGCATGCTGGCAGGCAGGCTGCCGGTCTGGGGGGGCATCCACATCCGCTCTTAGAAGAGGTTGGGGAGCACCCACCCACCTGCTGCTCAGCTGGGGCTGCCGGCAGGAGGCCGAGCCGTGGGCTGAAATCTGCTCTGAAGCGTGCCAGGGTTTCCTGTGCTATAATTAGCAGCTCCGGGGCTGTGAGTGTCCGGGGAGCCGTGAATGGTTTGAGATGGGATCAGGAGCCTGGACACCAGGCTTCTCGTCCCAGTCCTCTGTAGCTGTGGGTTCAAAACAGCCCCTGTGGGGGCACAGACACACAGGGACAGCTGGGAGGAGGCAGAGACGAGGCTGTGTCCCCTGTTATGTGGCACAGCAGCCCCTTAGGCTTGAAGCGGGGACTCCATCCTGGCCACCAGCCTCAGCAAACCCTGTCTTCCCTTTCCCAGTCACCACCACCGACCTGGAGCTCTCCGGCATGAGAACCCTGGAGCACGTGGCAGTCACTGTGACCATAACCCACCCGCGCCGCGGCAATCTGGAGATCAGGCTCTTCTGCCCCAGCGGCATGATGTCCCTGATAGGGACCACCAGGAGCATGGACTCGTAAGCACCGGGGGGCACAGGGGTGTGGAGGCTCACACTGCAGGGCAGGACACCCAGCCCAGCTGTCCCCGAGCCGGAGAGCCAGGGCCTGTGTCTAGCTTCATGGCTCAGGCTACGTTACCCTCTCACGGGTTGTTTCTCCTCACCCTTTGGCAGGGACCCCAATGGCTTTGCCGACTGGACCTTCTCCACGGTCCGGTGCTGGGGTGAGGAAGCCCGGGGCACGTACAGACTGGTTGTCAGGGACATCGGTGAGTCCTGCTGTCCAGGGGTCCGTCATGGGGAGGTGGCAGTGGTGGCAGCAGCTCTGTGCCATGTCTTGGGGAGCTGCTGGCTCAGTGCCTAGATGGGTTCTCTCTGTGCAGTGCCACCCAGCTGGCTGGGAGAGTTCCCGCTGGTCCAACCTATTTCTTCCCCAGGAGATGAGAGCCTGAGACCTGGGACCCTGAAGCAGTGGCAGCTGACCCTGTACGGCTCCTCCTGGTCCCCAGCAGAGATGAAGGAACGGCAGAGGTAGGGCACCACAAGCCCGTCTGGGTGGGGAGACAGGAGGTGGAGGCACAAGGGACATTATCAGAAGTTTCTGAGCGGGTGCTGCTCAGCCTGAGCGCTGTTGCTGTGATGTACGCAGCAGGGTAAGGCTGCAGCACGGGGCCCTGGGGCTGTGCAGGGGAGCTGTGGCTGGACACAAGAGCTCTGCTGGCTGGGTCTGAGCCAGGAGGGCAACCTTCAGTGGTGGCGGAAGCACTACAGACCCGTCGCGGGCATTTGGGACCCCCCTTGGAGCAGCCCTGCCTGCAGGACCCTCACGGGGTGCTTCTGTCCCCCAGGCTGCTGGAGGATGCCATGAGCGGGCGGTACCTGAGCAGTGACTTCTCCCTGCCCTGCCCTCCCGGGCTGGACATCCCCGAGGAGCAGCGCTACACCATCACAGCCAACACCCTCAAGGTGAGCTGCCCGCAAGCTGGGGACACCCCGTCCTCTGCAGGAGGGACCAGAGGAGGGGGAAGCGGGGTGGTCCATCCTCCTGGCGCTGTGCCCTCTCTGCCAGGTGATGGCAGGGCTCTGGGGGGATCGAGGGCTTTGGTTCTCAAGGGCTTTCCTCCTCTGCAGACTCTCCTGCTGTTGGGATGCTTTGCCGTGTTCTGGACTTTCTACTACATGCTGGAGGTTTGCCTGACCAGGAACAACGTGGGCCTCGACCTGACCTGCAACGGCTCCGGCACCTGCAGATGGTACCAGCAGGGAGGGAAGCACAGGGCCCTGGAGAGCGGCCTGGAGATGGAGTCAGTGCCGCTCTACCGTGAGAAGGACATCGAGGACGTCGAGATGGAGTGTGAGCACCCAGAGCCTACCCAGGAGGACGAGGGGGAGGAGGGGTCCTGGACCCCCACCCACCCCAAACTGCCCAGCAGTGGCAGAGCTGCGAGCTTCCCTGAGGCGGCCGCCACCGGAGCAGGGTACCTTGGCCAGGAGGTGACAGCCGAGCGGCTCTCAGAGGACAGGGAGCACCAGACGTGCTAGCTGGGGCTGGGGGCTTGGGCTGCGTCCCTCCCTCTCGGTACGGCCTTCCCCGGCACGGGCAGCAAGAGACCTCCTGATCCACGAGGGACCGCGGCCGTTGTGTCCTGCGGCAGGTGGTGTTGGACAGGGCTCAGAAATAAGGAGAAAGAGTGCTGGCAGCGGAAGGGGAGCTTCCCTTTCCCTCGCTCTGGAAAACAAAGCAAGCCTTAAACCTGTTCCTAGTGGAGCCTGCCCTGCAGTGACGCTCAGGGCTTCCCTTTGTGTGTGGAGCAAAGCCCCACACCGATGCCTCCTGGGCGCGTGGTGGAGCTGGGCACGGCGTCCCCTGCACGCCACAGCTCCTGCAGCCTTGCAGCTCGGGGAAGAAGTATCGCTTTATCCCTCATTTCTGCAGAGTGAGCCTGCAAAACGTGGCAGGGCTCCTGGCAGGCAGGGACCCCGCAGCACTGTCCTTTGCCTGCCCCGCTGGGCTAGGAGCTGGCCAATACCCACCAGTTAGCCCAGCTTAGAAGCAGGGAGCCATTTCGTCCATCTCCAGCCAGCGCTTGCTCCCTGTCCCCTGTGCTCTGACCCCGCCGCCGCCTCCTCGGCGGCAGAAGGCAGCAGGGCTTTCTCCACCGTCCTGCTTGGGGGCAGGACAGGGCTGTCCCTGCTGGGGCGGGCACAAAAGGCAGCAGCACGAGCTTGCTGCAGGTATCGTGGCAGCGTGAGCTCGCTGCGGTCGCTTCCCCGCATCTGCCTCCCCACTGGGACCTCGATTTGTGCCTGGGAGGGACGAGGCTGTGGGTGGTGGCTGCTCTGGGCCGGGAAGGGGAAGCTGAGTTGCTCTGGCAGCGGCTTATCTGCGAGCGGGGTTGGCTTGTTCATGTGTCTTTGGGTTCGTCGGTTTATTTTTTTAAAGTCGGGGTTTGTTTTTTAATCAGCAAAGCCCTTTTGTGTAGCTTTCCAAATAAAGCCTGAAAAACCCTCCGCTCGCCCATCCATCACTCCTCTGCCCTCCCAGCACTCCCTCGCTGTGGAATCATGGGTCACCCAGCACCTCCCAGCCCCGGGGGCCGTGG